ATGCTCCCTAGCCAAGATTTCATCCTGAATCTAGGAAAAAATGACTTAATGGAGCAAGTTTAACAGAAAGTGATAAGAAAGAATAAATTTGCTTTCTGCTTGTACCCCACTGAGTCCAGATGACAAAATACATTAGTTATAAATGTCTTGCTTTAAAAAAACAAAAATGAAATAAGACAATAACAAAATATTACTCTGAGGATAAAGCCCCAAATCCTCACATGGCATGTGTTTGTGTATCTGGCCCCTGCAAAGCTTTTGAATTTCATTTCATGCCACTCTCTACCACAGTAGCTCCAGCCACATGGCTTTCTCAAAATGCTTTAGAAATACAAGTAGCTTATCACCTCAGGTACACACTCTACCCTCTACCTTGGAATTGTTTGCCTCCTCTCATCTTCACCTGCCTAATTCCTCCTTGTTCTTAGAATGCTCTGGTTGTAAGCAACAGGCACCAGCAGGAACTTAAGCAGGAAATGAATTTATTGGAAAGGTAGGAAGTAGCTCACACAATCAAAGACTATTAAAAAAAAATTTACTTTGGGACTCCCCTGGTGGTGCAGTGGATAGGACTCCACGCTCCCAATGCAAGGGGCCTGGATTTGACCCCTGATCAGGAAACTAGATCCCACATGCATGCCAAAACTAAGAGTTTGCATGCTGCAACTAAGGAGCTGGTGAGCTGCAACTAAGGAGCCCAAGAGCCACAACTAAGGAGCCTGCATGCAGCAACTAAGACCTGGTGCAACCAAATAAATAAATTAATTTAAAATATAATAATTACTTTAAAGACACAACTGGAAAATAACAGAAGCCAAGGAAGCCTAAGCAATTAAGATGGTAGGAAATGATGGGCAGTCTATTCTGGAAAAGAGATCATCCTCAGCTTTTTGTTTTGTTTTGTTTTGTTTCTCTGGAGAGTCACTCCCAGGTTAGGACATGTGCCCACCCCTAACTAGGGGAGGGCAGAGTGTTTGGGTACAATGAGGGAACAGAAATTTCTCCAAAGAAAATCAGGACACAAGTTACACAATAATCGTAGGCAGGCAACACAACTGAAATCCACTTCGTTTAAGGACCCCTTCAATGTTTCTTCCTCTGCCAGTTAGTAGCCACAGACTCTTAAGCAGGCTATTTATAGTATCTGTGTCTCAGTTTATTAATCTTGAGATAGTAGTATAAGTATCTGCCTCATAGGTTAGTGGTGATGATTAAATTAATGAATATATGTAACCCACTGAGCAAAGTGCTAGCACATAGTGTTAGCTAATATTATTTTTTAGAAAAATTTTCCATAACCTCCCTAGTCTTTGCCAGGTTATTCTCCCATTATATTCTCCCATCCCATCTTGTATTTCTCCTTTGAGCACTTATCATAAGTAAACCTGTAGAATTATTTCTGTAATTTTTACTTAAATATGTGTATCCCACTAACCTCATAAGGGTAGAAGAAACATTTATCTTTTACACCTTGTATTCTCAATGCGTAAGTGCATAGCATAGTGTTTTAGGCTGACTAATAGCTCCCAAAGATACCCAGGTCCTAATCCCTGGAAGCTGCGAATGTTACCTTATATGGCAAAAGCAACTCCAAAGATGTGACTAAGTTAAGGATCTTGAGATGGGAAGATTATCCTGGATATATGGGTGGGCCCTAAATATAATCACAAATGTCCTTATAAGAGGAAGGCAAGGGGAGATTTGACTACATAATATGAGAAGGCAATGTGACATCAAAAGCAAGAGGTTGGAATAATGCAAGGAAGGGCTCACAAGCCAAGCAATGCAGGCAGCTTTCAGAAGCTAGAAAAGATGAGGGAACACATTCTCTAGAGCTTCCAGAAGGAACCAGCCCTGCCAACACCTTGACTTTAGCCCAGTGAAACTGATTCTGGACTTCTGGCTTCCAGAAATATAAGAGAATAAATTTATATTGCTTTAAGCCACCAAGTTTGCGGTAATTTGTTATGGTAGCCATAGGAACTAACACTCAGGCACTCAAAAAATATTTATTGAAAAATAAATGAGACTTAGAAAATGAACCAAAAATGTATCAATCAAAGCCAGCATAGAAGCTGATGTACAAGACTAATCTTCATGACAAACATAAGACTGAACAACTTACTTTGGTCCACACATCTAATATCTCATTATAGGTACATCAGTTAAATACTGAATATCCTTGTACTCGTCAAGGTTTTTAGTTGAAAATTGAAGAAGTTATCATTGACTGGGAATGATAGGGGCCAGGAATTTATTCAAAGGGTAGCATATGTTTCAGACTCACCAGGATGATTGAAGAACCAGGTTCAAGGCCAGCCATGTATGGTGTGCATTGCAACACAGCAGCCCTGTTGAAGATCTGCAGCCAGGAGCAACATACAAAACATGCCACATCATTGGTCTGGGGAAGACACCATTGGCTCTTCCACCAAACACAGCATTGTATTACCAAGCACTGACTGTCACCATTATTACCGCAGTTTCTGATCTTCCTGTAGCACTGCAGCCAGAGAGTTCCCCAAGAGTCCTAAATTGCAGTAAAGGCTAGGAAAGTAAGGATTGGGCATTTTCAGTTTCTGCAGTAGGAGGCATCTCAACGTCTCAACAAGATTCAGAATGGGAACAAGGGAGATTCTCCAAACAGAAGAAGAAATGGGTCAGGTGATGGGTAACCATAAGGGAAAGATAAATACATACTACAGTCTCATATCCAAAGCTTACAGTGAACTGATTTTCAAGCATCAGACTTGAACATGAATTCACAAAACCAGAATGTGCAGTCATGCATCTAATGACCTCCTGTGTTCGATCACTTCTAAATTCAAATTAAAGCAGGTAACAGAATACAGAAGATATTGAGGTTAAATATATCAATATCTAATTTGATCATTAAATGAAATGAAAATGCCTTAAGGAATTTTTAAAGACTGATTTCCTTGGTCAGATCACCAACTGGCATGAAGAAATAAATGCCTGGTTTAATCTCTCTATCACATTGTCCCATTAAATTTAATCAAAGCCGTATCAATTACCTGCCAAAAAAATAAGTAATACCTTATTTGGGGCAACCAAATAACTAGAGTTTGGGGTAAATATTAGATGTCATTATAATAAAGGGAGAATAAAAATCCCAGACCTTAGATTATCAGAGTCTACCACTTAAAATAGCCATACAACTAGTATTTTGCCTTCTTCTGTATCAGGCTATGTGCTAAGCACTGGGAGTTTCTTTTGTTTTCGTTTTTAATGATTAATGAGGAATCCCTGAAAGAATTTATATTCTGCAGAGAAGTTAAGGAATAAAGACATGTAAATAAACTAATTATAAATAAATAAATAAACTAATTATAATAATAATAAGTTGTAACAGGTGATCTAACAGATGTGCTATGGGTTGAATTGAGCCCACCCCCCCCAAAATTTATATGTTGAAGCCCTAGCTCCCATTACTTCCGAATGTGACCTGATTTGGAAATGGGATCATTGCTGATGTAATTAGTTAAGATGAGATCAAACTGGAGTAGGATGGGTCCCTAATTCAATATGACTGCTGTCCTGATAAAAAGAACACCATGTGAAAAGACAGACAAACACACAGGGAGAAAGCCATGTGAACACTGGAGTTATGCTACCACAAGTCAAAGAACTATGGCCACTCGTGCTCCCGCAGTGTCCATGGCCACGCCTTTTTCCGCAACTGATTTTGCACGCACGTGCAGCGGAGCGCACTACGTGCAGTGACGTGAAGAAGCCCCGCCCCACCCAGCAGGCCACAGCCGTTTGGGAACCCGAGACTCTTAAAACGGCAGAGCAACTTTTTCCAGGAAAGATGACAGACCAGATGTGCACCTTTCTTTTCAAAAAGCCTGGGCGAAAAGGGGCTACAGGTCTCAGAAAGCGCCCGATCTGCCACCAAGAGTCCGGAGACGACAGCAGCAGCAGTGATGAAGGCAGCGCTGTGGTTAGCCGGAAAAAGAAGCGGGCGACCCACAATCCGATGATACAGAAGACCCCTGGCAGTGGTAAACAGAAGGCAGCTTATGGTGACCAGAGTAGCCAGGAGGAGGAGAACGAGCCCGAGAGTCTCGGCGTGGTCTATAAGTCCACTCGCTCAGGGAAACCCGTGGGGCCAGAGGATATGGGTGCGACTGCTGTCTATGAGCTAGACACAGAGAAGGAGCGCGACGCACAAGCCATCTTTGAGCGCAGCCAGAAGATCCAGGAGGAGCTGAGGCACAAGGAAGATGACAAGATCTATCGGGGAATCAATAATTATCAGAAGTACATGAAGCCCAAGGATACATCTATGGGCAATGTTTCCTCCAAGATGGTGAGGAAAGGCCCCATCCGAGCTCCCGAGCATCTGCGTGCCACCGTGCGCTGGGATTACCAGCCCGACGTTTGTAAGGACTACAAGGAGACTGGCTTTTGCGGCTTTGGAGACAGCTGCAAATTCCTCCATGACCGTTCAGATTACAAACATGGCTGGCAGATCGAACGTGAGCTTGACGAGGGTCGCTATGATGTCCATAAGGATGAAAACTATGAAGTGGGAAGCGATGAGGTGTAAATACAGTTCAAGTGTTTCATCCGTCGCCAGACGTTCCAAAACCCAGTTGTCACCAACTGCAGGCTGTAAGGCCAACTGGCCCGAGGCAGGGGAATGCAATCAGACTTACAGGTTGCATCAGACCGAAACTTTCCGGACCACCCAGTTCCAGGAACTGACCTGGGGACTTTCCACCCGGCCCAGCCTTCCCGCCTTTTGAGGGGCGGGACTAACGGTCCTAAGACTGATGCAACCGGCACCAGATATTGCCACGATACCCGAAGAGACCACCAAATAAGGAATAACCTGCGCCCTCCCGGATTCACCACACCCCTTTCCCTTCTTCCCCTATAAATTCTGCCCAAACCCTCGCACGGGCACGACTTCCCTGGCCCCTTTCTCTCGGACCAGTGAACCTCGCCCGGGAGCGTTCCCAAATAAAGCTTGTTTAAGCTCTCCTCCATCTTTGGTGCCGTTCCTTACATTTGGTGCCGAAACCCGGGAGGGGTACCAAGCCCCGCGGGTTACCATGCGGGCCGCTCCTCCCCTCCCCCAGGAGACAACCAGGGAACCTCTACTCATCCACCGGATCCGGCAGAAAACGGGGTAAGTTCCCCTCCCTTGTTCCCTCCGACCCTCAGAGTCCCTGCCCACCAGACTCCCTGTCCTTAATCGCGGCCGCGTCAGGGATTCCTCCGTCCTCTCTCCGGGCCTCGGGCAACTGTGGAGACGTCCCAATCACCTGACCGCCCTCTGACCTGCCGTGAATTGGAGACTGAGACCAGGGACGCCTCACTCCCTCTCCATTCACTCAGGGACAGACTAGGGGTCATGGGAACCTCAAAATCGAAACCAGATCCTAAGACGCCCCTGGGGTGTCTCCTAGCCAATTTTACAGCCCTCGGCTTCTCCCAAGATCTCCGTTGCCGACGGCTTATTTTCTATTCCACTGTGGCCTGGCCACAATATCCTCTAGACAATCAATTCAAATGGCCTCCTGAAGGGACTTTCGATTTTAACATCCTCCGTGATCTAGATAATTACTGCCGCAGGACGGGCAAATGGTCTGAGGTCCCCTATGTCCAGGCCTTCTGGTATTTACGGCTCCCGCCCTTCCCTCTGCGTTGACTGTTCCACTTCCCAGATCCTTCTTGCCAAACAGACATCTCCTACATCCAAGCCGCTAATTTCCTTTGACGATGACCCCTCTCCACTAGCCGACCCTCCCGAATCTCTCGCCTCTCCCCTCTCCAGAACTCCTCTCCATCCTCCACCCTACCCTGAAGCGGTCCCTCCTCCTCCCGAACCTGCTCCGGCCCATCCAACCGCTCCCCCGCCTCCCTCAACAGTTTCTCCTCCCACGCCCCTTGCTTCGCCAGTTAGTGCACATACACGCTCTCACGACTCCCAAGATCCAAATCTCCTCTGCCCTCTGAGGGAGGTAGCAGGAGCGGAAGGATTAGTTAGAGTTCATATTCCCTTTTCCCTCCAAGGTCTCTCTCAAATAGAAAAGCGATTAGGCTCCTTTTCTGCCGACTCTTCCCGCTACATCAAAGAATTTCGCTACCTCTCTCAAGCTTACGATCTAACCTGGCACGATATCTTTGTGATCCTATCTTCTACCCTGACCCCTGACGAGAGGGAAAGAATTCAAACTGCTGCCCGAAACCATGCAGATCAGGCTCACCTTACCGACAACTCCATGCCTGTCGAAGCAACTGCCATACCTGGCACCGATCCAGGCTGGACTTATCAGGATGGCCAAGATGGCCGTCGTAAACGCGACCTCATGATCCAATGCCTCCTGGCTGGCATGCAGGCGGCCGCTCATAAGGTAGTCCATTTTGAAAAACTAAAAGAGATAACCCAAGACCTAAAGAAAATCCAGCTATCTTTCTCAATCGCCTTACAGAGGCCTTAACTCTCTACACCCGGCTGGATCCCGACACCCCGGCAGGGGCAACGGTCCTAGCCACCCATTTTATTACCCAATCAGCCCCGGACATCCGAAAGAAATTAAAACGGGCAGAAGACGGCCCTCAGACCCCTACTCGAGATCTGGTAAAGATGGCCTTTAAAGTCTATAATGGCCGTGAGGATTTGGCAGAATCCAGCCGGCAGGCTTGGATCCTCCAAACCCAAGGTCTTGTAGCCGCCCTAAGGCCTGGCATCTCCCATGGATCACAGCATCCACGGAATCCACAAAAGGCAACGCTGCCGGGGGCCTGCTTCAAATGCGGAAAAGAAGGCCACTGGGCTCGCCAATGTCCCAATCCCCGACCTCCTTCTAAGCCCTGTCCCAGCTGCAGGCTAACGGGCCACTGGAAGAGTGACTGCCCTACGACTGGCCCTCCCTCAGCGTCTCCACGCGGGGGGCAAGCCGACCCAATGGCATTACCACTCGAACTGCTGGGATTGGCTGACGACTGACGGCGCCCGGACTCGAAGACCCCCATCACCCTCGCCGAGCCCCAGGTAACGCTACAGGTAGCGGGTAAGTCCATCTCATTTCTGGTGGACACGGGGGCTACCTATTCGGTCCTGCCTACCTATTCCAGGCCAGTTTCTCCTTCCCAGATCTCGGTCATGGGTATTGATGGCAAAGCATCCTTCCCACTCCAGACCGGTCCACTCCCATGTCATATCGAAGGACTCCCTTTTACTCATTCCTTCTTAGTCATACCATCCTGCCCAGTTCCCTTGCTAGGCCGAGATGTCCTTTTCCACTTAGGGGCCTCCCTCCAGCTGGTTAGACTTGACCCTAAGGTCCCCTCCTCCCAACTCCTGCTTCCTCTTCTCGGCCTGTCTCTAGAACCCTCCCCCTCCTATTCCCCTCTTCCAATCACACCGAACCCAATTAATCCCCAAGTTTGGGATACTTCTAAGCCCATAACAGCAACATACCATTCCCCCGTCCTCATCTGCCTAAAGGACCCCTCCAAATTTCCATCAAGGCCCCAATTTCCCATCTCTGAGACTCACCTTAGGGGCCTACAACCTATTATCACCAGACTCCTAAACCAGGGACTCCTTATCCCCACTGATTCTCCCTGCAACACCCCCATCCTGCCTGTCCACAAGGCCTCTGGGGATTATCGCCTGGTCCAGGACCTCCGACTAATCAATGAGGCCATAATTCCTCTCCACCCAGTAGAACCAAACCCATACACCTTGCTCTCCCATATCCCCCCATCCACAACCCACTTTACGGTTCTGGATCTCAAAGATGCCTTTTTCACTATCCCCCTACATCCCGACTCCTACTTCCTCTTCGCCTTTACCTGGACGGATCCGGATACTCATACTTCCAGTCAGCTCACCTGGACAGTTCTTCCCCAGGGCTTCCGCGACAGTCCTCACCTCTTCGGTCAGGCGCTGGCACGGGACCTCACTTCCTGCTCCCTTACCCCCAGCACACTCCTTCAATATGTAGATGACCTCCTCCTTTGTAGCCCGTCTCTCAGCCTCTCAAGACAACATACTGCAGATCTCCTCAATTACCTTGGCTCTCGCGGTTATCGGGTCTCCCCAGCCAAGGCTGTTATCTGTATCTTCTGTAACCTACCTGGGGCTCCACCTTACCCCTACCACAAAAGGTCTAACAGCCGACCGCACCCGGATTATCCGTGAACTCCAGCCTCCGGAAACAGCGGAACGAATTCTCTCCTTTTTGGGCCTTACAGGATTTTTCCGGCACTGGATCCCTAACTTTGCTCTCCTCGCTAAACCCTTATATCTAGCTGCTAAAGAAACCCCTCAAGGACCCCTCACCTCTCCTTCCGCCGTTCGACAGGCCTTTCTCACCCTCCGTAACGCTCTGATATCTTCTCCTCCCCTTTCTCTGCCCAACCCAAACCGACCTTTTCACATTTTTGCGGATGAACGGGCCGGAATAGCCACTGGACCCCTTGCCCAGCCTGTAGGGCCTTCCTACCGCCCCGTGGCTTACCTCTCCAAACAGCTAGACCCAACCATTCGGGGATGGCAACCATGCCTTTGGGACCTAGCAGCGGCAGCCGAACTGACCAAACAAACACTCAAACTGACTCTGGCCCACCCACTAACCATGGTTTCCTCCCACCGGCTGGTCGACCTTCTAGGCCACAAGTCTCTCTCCCTCCTGGGCCCCTCCCGCATCCAGGAGTTCCACCTACTGTTCATTGAAAACCCTGCTATCTCCCTCGACCTCTTCCCCCACCTAAACCCGGCCTCCCTCTTGCCTATCTCCGATACCGGGACCTCCCCTTCCCACTCCTGCCCCCAAGTCGTAGAGGCCCTCAGCCCGCCGAGAGAGGGACTCTTTGACACCCCTCTTTTCAAACCCGGACCACACCCTCTTTGTAGATGGCAGCTCAATACTCGGTCCTGACAGACGCCGACGAGCAGCCTATGCGGTGGTAACTATCTCAACTATTATCGAGGCTAACAGCCTCCCAGAAGGGACAACCTCTCAAAGGGCTGAACTGATAGCACTCACGTGGGCCCTTGACCTCTCTAAGGGCCAAAGGGCCATCTTTCTCCCTATGGTCGCAGGCATTTCCCTCGCCTCCTCTCGTTGCTGTGGGCATCGGGGGAGGAGCCCTAACACACAGTGTCTCAACATCCCGTGACCTAGAACAGAAACTCCAGCTAGCCATCGAGGCTTCTGCCACCTCCATCACCTCCTTCCAGCGCCAGATCACCTCAGTAGCCCGAGTCGCTCTCCAGAATCAACGAGCCCTTGATCTCCTGACGGCCGACAAAGGAGGTACCTGCCTCTTCCTACAGGAGGAATGCTGCTATTACATCAATGAAACAGGACTCGTCGAAGACAACGTAAACGCCCTCCATCGCTTAAGAGAAGAACTTCAATGAAAACACCAACAGTCCGCCTCCCCAGTCCCCAATTGGTGGCGATCCACCCTCTATACCTGGCTAACACCGATCTTAGGCCCCTTAATTCTCATCTGTATCTTGTTCACGCTTGCTCCCTGTTTTCTTAGGTTCCTTCGCAGGCGCATGGAGGAAGTCTCTCGGGTGGCCACAAACCAAATGCTCCTCGGCCCTTACACCTTGCTTCCTACAGAGCCCCCCAATGGTCTCCCTTAAGCCTCGGACCTCTGGTCGCCCGACTCCCCTTTCGACACCCCCATTCAGCAAGAAGTAGCCAGAGATTAGAACGCCGCCCCATTACACCAAAGATGTCGGGATGTAAGGCCAACTGGCCCGAGGCAGGGGAACACAATCAGACTCACAGGTTGCATCAGACCAAAACTTTCCGGACCACCCAGTTCCAGAAACTGACCTGGAGACTTTCCGGACCACCCAGTTCCAGGAACTGACCTGGCGACTTTCCACCCGGCCCAGCCTTCCCGCCTTTCGAGGGGCGGGACTAACAGTCCCAAGACTGATGCGACCGGCACCGGATATTGCCACGATACCCGAAGAGACCACCAAATAAGGAATAACCTGCACCCTCCCGGATTCACCACACCCCTTTCCCTTCTTCCCCTATAAATTCTGCCCAAACCCTCGCCCGGGCGCGACTTCTCTGTTCCCTTTCTCTCGGACCAGTGAACCTCGCCCGGGAGTGTTCCCAAATAAAGCTTGTTTAAGCTCTCCTCAGTCTTTGGTGCCGTTCCTTACACAGGCATTATTTCTGTGAGAGCTGTGCGCTGCAGCATTTCTGCACCACCCCGTGCTCTGTCTGTGACCAGCAGACCAATGGCATCTTCAATCCAGCGAAAGAATTGATTGCTAAACTAAAGAAGCATAGAGCTGCAGAAGAGGGTGGTGCTTCTGATTTCCCAGAAGACCCCGATGAGGGTCCAATTCCCATTACTTAATTTTCCCATTATTCTCAAATCAAACGTTGTTTTTGGGGGGGGGGTCCTTCCCTAGTACCTTCAGAGAGGGCGTGGCCTTGTCAGCACCTTAATCTGTCTTCTAGCCTACAGAACTGTGAGATAATAAATTTCTATTGTTCTGGGCCACTCAGTCGTTGGTACTTTGTTATGACAGTCCTGAATCCACTGAAGTTGCAGCATAGAAAATCAATATACAAAAATCAGTCACATTTTTATACACTAACAATGAACTATCAGAAAGAGACATTAAGCAAACAATCCCATTTGAAATACAGTCAATAGAATAAAATACTTAGGAATAAATTCAACCAAAATGGTGAAAGATCTGTACACTGAAAACAATAAGACATTAATAAAAAATAGTTGAAGATGACACAAATAAGTGGAAAGATATTCCATGCTCAAGGATCAGAAGAATTATTATTGTTAAAACCTCCATACCACCTAAAGTGATCCACAGATTCTATGCACTCCCTATCAAGTTTCCAATGGCATTTTTCACAGAATAGAATTAACAAATCTAAAATTTGTATGGAACCACAGAAGAACCCAAATAGGCAAAGCAATCTTAAGAAAGAAGAACAAAGCTGGAAGCATTGCATGTCCTGATTTCAAACTATAGTACAAAGCTATAGTAATCAAAACAGTATAGTATTGGCATAAGAACAGACACAAAAATCAATGGAACAGAATAGAGACCTCAGAAATAAACCCATGCATATATGGTCAATTAATTTACAACAAAAGAGCCAAGAATATACAATGAGAAATGATAGTCTTTGCAATAAATGGTGTTGGAAGACTGAATAGCTACATGCAAAAGAATGAAATTGGATCCCTATCTTACCATACCCAAAAATCAACTCAAAATGGATTAAAGACTTAAGCATTAAAGACCTGAAATCATAAAACTCCTAGAAGAAAACAAAGGGGGAAACGTTTTGACATTAATTTTGATGATGATTTCTCAGATATGACACCAAAAGCACATGCAACAAAATCAGAAGTAGATAAGTGGACTACATCAAACTAAAAAGTTTCTTCACAGCAAAGGAATCAGCCAACAAAATAAAAAGATAACCTACTAAATGGGAGAAAATATATCTAAAAAGGGTTAATATCCAAAATATATAAGGAACTCATACTACTCAACAGCAAAGAAAACAATTTGATTTAAAAATGGGTAAAGGGGGCTTCCCTGGTGGCACAGTGGTTGAGAGTCCACCTGCCGATGCAGGGGACGTGGGTTCGTGCCCCGGTCTGTGAAGATCCCACATGCCGCGGAGCGGCTGGGCCTGTGAGCCATGGCCGCTGAGCCTGCACGTCTGGAGCCCGTGCTCCGCAACAGGAGAGGCCACAACAGTGAGACACCCGCGTACCGCAAAAAAAAAAAAGGGTAAAGGAACTGAATAGATATGACAAACAACTGACCAACAGGTAGACAAGAGATAACAAGTGTTGGGAGGGTGTGGAGAAAAGCAAAGTCTTGTACACTGTTAGTGGGAATGTAAATTGACACAGCCTTTATTACTATTATTACAAATAAAGAAGGCAGAAGGAAACTTTTGGAGGTGATGGACATGTTTATGGCATATATTGTGATGGTGGTTTTATGGATGTATATCCCCAAACTCATCAATTTGTGTATATTAAATATGTAAAAATTTTTTACATCAATCATACTTCAATCAGGGGTTTAAAAAATATAATCTGAAGATATAACTCACTCCACCATCCTCAACAAATAAGCAGAAACGACACAATAATTACTAACATAGGACCACACAAAATGCAAAATGTAGACTTAGTGCAGCTTTAATAATTACAAATTAGGCATTCTTGTTGAGAGACTACATTCTCAAACTAAATCAGGAAGGACATTTTTGTAATTTGGAAAATTTATAGCTAATGACATAGAGTTCCCAAAACACATTCTAAGTTAAAAAATGTCTAGCACAAATGTCTACATGGTTCATTCATTAATTCCACAAATATTTATTGAGAGAAGCTTTGTGTTAGGCATTGACCATGACAATAGATAAAGCTTTGCATAAAAATTTGCCAAGTAAGAAAGATATATTAGCTATACAACAAATGGAAACATTTATGCATTTAGACTGCTAGGCAACTACTTCATTTTTTTTACATTAAAGAGTTCGTTCATACCCAAATTAATCTATAAGTCCAAATACAGTGCTAATCAAAATCATAACATAGTTTTTTACAGAACTTATATCAATTCTAAAATTCACATGCAAGACTAAAGTGTCAAGAATAATCATAATTATTCTGGGAGAAAGGATGGGAGACTTACTAGATCTTAGGATATATAAAGCCATAGTAATGAAGACAGTACTGTTTTGCTTCAAAGAGGAGCAATATACTAAGGAAACAAAAATATTAGAGCTATACACATATGGAAATGTGATATAAGACAAAACTGGTATTTCAGATTCCTGGGAAAAGAATAGACATTCAGTAAATTGTGTTGGAACCATTGGCTTTCTATATAAATTAAATTATATCCCCTTATCACATCATATATGAATTTTTATAAGTTCCAGGTGGATGAGAGACCTTAATGAAAGAAGCAAAATTGTACAGCTATTAAGGAAAATACATGCTTCTATGACTTTATGGAAGTACTTCTTTGGTTATACATAAACTTGACCACATCAAAATTAAAACCTCTGTAAGACCAAAGCCACAATAAACAAAATTAAAAGTCAACCCACAGTTTGGGTATAGATCTTTGTAGCATATGTAACAAAGAGTTAATTATATGAAAGGATGATGTTAGGAAAACCAAGACTTGGCTGAGAAAAACAGATCCAAGAAACACACATTCAAGATCAGAAACCTCCAGCTGTCACTCCCTTCAGAGCTTGTACAGAGACGCAGTTTCAACAAAACTGACACCACCTTTCCCCTAAACCTCTGATTTATATGTGGACGAAAGGAAGTTATAAGCTGTCTTTGTTCGTAAATAGAAGCTATTTTTCCTTCTTTCCCCTCTCTCTAAGGGAAGGGAAGGAGGGGCTTCCTCTCCCCCAAACCAAGGGAACACTCAAGACAATGATTGGTAAAGTTTGACGATGGCTGCAAGAAGGTCATATTGATATTTTGCTTCTGGTAGGATGTTTACTTAGCCACTCAACTTGATGATCTTCCTTGCACTAGTGGAGTAGGAGAAGAGACGATTGGGGGTGAAAGCACGGTGGGAGCCCACAGGGCAGAAGAAGGAAGTTCAGGACTCCTGGATCCCAAACCTGTATTCCAGTTTCCTCAGATTTGGGCTACAGTCTTGCCGGTGATGGTTACATCATAAAGCAAACAGGCACTCAGTTCAAAAAAATATTCTTTAAAGCTATCAATTGAGGATCAGTGGAAGATATAGCCAATCATGAAAGGAACCCACAATGCCTTCAGAGGCTGCTTGAGAAGAGACCATCATCAGCTGAATCTGTGGGAACCATTATCTTGTCCTATGGAGTCCACAGACGTCAATCTCAAACACCATTTAAGGCCAACCAAGGAAAGAACTAAGCCTCAACACTTCAGGAGCATGAAGCAGGGCAGAATCTGCCTCACATCACTCCTGCCTGTCCAACATCCCATGTGTGTTGAGATTACACGTGTCCCATACGCACCGACACATACTGTTCCAAACTCCTACCCCCTGCAAGTCTCACCTATTTAGGAGGGAGAGCTAGAGGATTATTTATTTTTTGGCTGCGTTGCTGCACGCTCTTTCTCTAGTTGCGGCAAGCGGGGACTACTTTTCATTGTGGTGCATGGGCTTCTCATTGCATTGGCTTCTCTTGTGGAGCACGGGCTCTAGGCGCGTGGGCTTCAGTAGTTGTAGCACGCAGGCTCAGTAGTTCTGGTTCACGGGCTCTAGAGCGCAGGCTCAGTAGTTGTGGCACACGGGCTTAGTTGTTCCATGACATGTGGGATCTTCCAGGACCAGAGCTCGAACCCGTGTCCCCTGCATTGGCAGGCAGATTCTTAACTACTGTGCCACCAGGGAAGTTCCTAGAGAATTTTTTAATCGAATAAGAGACTCTGATTTTAAAACACTCAGGAATAAATTTTAGAAAATGTTAAGAGTCTGTTCTAACAATGGAATGCAGCTGAAAAGTAACGCAGATGCTGAGATATTGTCCTAGTGGAAAACGAGGCTTCAACATAGTACGGTTGGTAGCAGTTGACGACAAAAATAAAAGCATTTGAGTTTATACCTTGATGAGTCAAGTTTCCTCACAAAAACACTAGAAACGTGTATCCATAGTATATAAAGAATACTTCCTAATTAATACAAGAAAAGAATGCCCACGAGAAAAATGGGTATTTTCATCATCTAAACTTAGTGGCTCAAAACTAGTCATCATTTCTTTGCTTTTGAGTCTGCGATTTTGGCAGGGCCCCAGTGGAAACAGCTTGTCTCTACTCCTTGTGACATTTGCCATGGCTGGAAAGTCAAAGGTGACTTCTTCATATGTCTGGCACTTCAGCTAGGATGGCTGGAACAGCAGGGAGACTAGAGGGACATCTCTCCTCATGGCCTCTCCACGTAGCTAGATTGGACTTCCTCACAGCATGGCAGTCTCAGAGTAGTTGGATCTCTTACATAGCAGCTGGCTTCCTCCAAAAAGCAAAAGTAGAGCTTGCC